CTCATTCATTCCATTGCTAGTTATTTATTACAGAGAAATGCAGGCAGGGACGCACATGCTCAGGGTGCTCCTACACAGGGACCCACATGGTCCATTATGACTTAGGAAGCTGGAAACAATCTATGAATCATCTCAGCAGACAGATATATAAGTTGTGGTACACTTGTAAAATAAAATAGCCAGGCATGGTGGCGCACGCCTGTAATCCCAGCACTCGGGAGGCTGAGGCAGGAGGATCGCTGTGAGTTCGAGACCAGCCTGGGCTACACAGTGAGTTCCAGGTCAGTCTCAACTACATAGTGAGACCCTGTCTCAAAAAACAAAAAAACAAACAAAAATAAAATAATATGCAGCACTAAAATTGGATGAACAAGACACAAAACAATGGATATCAGGAACAAAGTTGAGTGAAAAAAGTGCACACGTGTACACACACAATTCTATAGGATTCTATATACTACGAGCTAAAAAAACAGGCAGAACTATCACATCAGAGATGCACCCTTAGATGATAAAGCTGTGAAAAAAAAGTAAAGGAGATGAAAAAACCCGCTTCAATAGAGAGGTTCCCTGAAGGGAGCAGGGATGGGGAAGGGCAGGCGGGGTTGATATTTACCTACTTCTTGAGCTGGATGGTGGTCACCCAGCTAATTAGCTTTATAATTTGTCAAGCTGTACACTCATTGTTTATGCATTTTTCTCTGCATGTGTGTGTGTGTTTTTTAATGATGGAAAACAAAAGCTTCACCAAAATCATTCCAGCAGGCAAGGGTCCCAAGTTTGAGGCTCTAAACGGTTCAGATTCTCATTCTCTCTCCTTCTTTCATCTGCAAATGAAGTTTCCATCCCTGCATCCTCCTACGCCCCGAGGTGGAGGCACACACATGCACCCGGGAATGCTGCCAAGAAGTGACCTACTCTGGGCCAAGCTCCCCTCCGAGCTCTTTGTCTTGTCTCACCTCCAAAAACCCTCTGTGGGATTCAAGAATATCCCAGGACCAAGAGCAGCGCTGCTCTTCCACTCCTCCTTTGGAGCCGAGCAGGAGGAGTGTTTTCTCCATTTCCCCAGCCTTCCGCCTTTTCCATTAGTTCAAGCTGTGGACAACCCTGAGATGCCTCAGTCCTAGACCCCGCAGCACTGCCTGCCCCGCTGGGCGCCGCCCCCTGACGCCGGCCTCACCCCACAGCACCTGTGGCCTTGGACTGCCTGGCCTGGGGCAGTCTGCCTTTTTGGTGGGACCTCCTCTACGGCACCTGTGATCCTGTTTCCTGGCACGTATGGGATACAGCCACAGTTGTGCCCGGAAATACCCTTTTATTGTTTTAAGGTCTGATTGGAAAAATCTGGTGCTTACAAGGCAGATGACAATGATCTGAAGAAATGTTTAAGGTTGGTTAGGAAGAGCTCTGGACCAGGCACCAGAAAGCTTAAGCTCCACCCCAAAGCTTCTCTGTGCTGTTACCTCAGGTGAGCCATCAATTTCCTTAGGTCTCATGTTCTACCCAGCTCACAGGAACAAATGGGCTAGATAGATAGGGAATGCTTTAAAAGCACTCCGAGAGGCTGAGGCAGGAGGACTACAAGTTTGAACCCAACCTGAGCAACTTAGAAAGATTGTATCTCAGAAAAAAAAAAACTATAAGGGCTAGGGGTGTAGCTCATGGCAAAGGCCCTGGGTTTGATCCGACAGAGACAGAGAAACAGGAACAGAGAGAGACTCATGAATAAAATAAAAATTAGTTTGGGTAAAGCCCACCAATGTGCCAGACTCATTCCAACTCCTACTCTCTGCCAGCGGGGAGGCTCAGCTGTTACACAAGGCTGCAAATGGGCTGTGGCCCTTGATCAGAGTCTGGCCCACCCGTGGCCTCTGACCTTGGCCTCTGGAGAGCCATGCTCCTCCCCTAAAGCTCTTTCCTAGGCTGTGTTCTCCAGACAGAACAAGACCACGTCAAGATCAGATGAAAGCAAAAGAGTCCCCGTCACCCCTATTCCTATACAAATGCAATTCTTTCTTAAAGGAGCGCTGCACATTTGGTTTAATTTTTTCAACTCCATTTGAAAGAACCAGTAAGTGGTTTTAAACAGGAGGAAGAGTCCCAAGCCTGTGCAAGTCCACTGAGAATAGGATGGTGCTGGTGCTGACCATTCCCAGTCATCCTTCTAGGTGTGAATGTTGGGGAAGCAGAGAATTAGGACGCCCAGTGGCCTCATTCTCCTAGAGGATCTCTCTGGGGAGCAAGGGGAGAGGGTGAGGGCTGGTGTGGTCCTCTTGGCCACCTTGTCCTATCCACAAAGCTCAGGCTCCACAGCCTGGACCTCTAAGCACTGGGAACCGAAAGGGGACAAGCCTCCGGGTGGGCAGAGGAGCTGGGGTTCACTTTGGGGGAACATTTTCAGGAGCAGAAGGATGCCCAAACCTGTACCTGCAATATTTCATCGTCTTCATCCCAGCTCTCTTGGCAGAGCGAGGTAGGAATGGAAATGAATCATTTGCATAATGATGAGTGTACTGCACCTTCTGTTCTCTCAGCAATCGTACAAGGTGGGGTCCTGTTCCCACCTGACACAGGGCGAAAGTAAGACCTGGCTTCTTGGTAGAAGCAGACAGAGGGGAACTCACTGTCCCGACTCCTCCACTGGCGTTCCTTCTGCCACAAACTAGAGGCCCTTCCTTTGTCACATCTTACATCCATAATCACCCACTGGACAACCTCAGCTCCTCCAGGATACACCCTCAGAAGGTCGTATTTTTTTTTAAGCAAGAAATATTGCTATGTTTACAACCATTCTACTATTGTAAGACTTGAATAAGCTAAAGTGACTCCATGCTAATAGGTCAGACTGTACTTCTTTATATGTTAATCGCTACCTTGGCTAACAGCCCCTTCCTCCACTGGCGTTCCTTCTGCCACAAACTAGAGGCCCTTCCTTTGTCACATCTTACATCCATCATCACCCACTGGACAACCTCAGCTCCTCCAGGATACACCCTCAGAAGGGCGTATTTTTTTTTAAGCAAGAAATATTGCTATGTTTACAACCATTCTACTATTGTAAGACTTGAATAAGCTAAAGCGACTCCATTAATAGGCCA